GAACCCAATGGAGAACTCAATGGAGACCCCAATGGAGACCCCAATGGAAACCCCAATGGAGAACCCAATAACGAACCCAATGGAGACCCCAATGGAGAACTCAATGGAGACCCCAATGGAGACCCCAATGGAGAACCCAATAACGAACCCAATGGAGACCCCAATGGAGAACGTAAGGGAGAACGCAATGGAGACCCCAACACAGATCCCAACGGAGACCCCAATTCCCCCCCCGTCCCCCCCCTCGTACCCTGTTGATGAGCTCCCCCACCATGCCGGTCCAGGAGCCGTTGGGCTCGGGGGCCCCGTAGAGCCCGTCCTCCACCAGCTTGATGTGGAAGCGGAACTTGAGGAGGGCGGCGAGTTCCCGCAGCATGTCCACGCAGAAACCCTCGTAGCGCTCGGGGCCCCCCGCGCCCCCCACCCGCATCACGTACGGGTTCTCCTGCCGGGGCGGCACCGCCGGGGCTCAGGGGGGGAGTGGGGGGGAGAAACCCCAGTGGGGAACCCAATGGAGACCCCAATGGAGACCCCAATGGAGAACCCAATGGGGAACCCAGTGGGGAACCCAACGGAGACTCAAACGGAGACCCCAATGGAGAACCCAATGGAGACTCAATGGAGACTCAATGGAGAACCCAGTGGGGAACCCAATGGAGATCCCAAATGGAGACCCCAATGGAGACCCCAATGGAGAACTCAATGGAGAACCCAATGGAGACCCCAATGGGGAACCCAATGGAAGTCAGTCCCTCCTAATCCCCCCCAATCCCCTCCCAATCCCCTCCCAGTCCCCTCCCAGTCCCTCCCAGTGCCCCCAAACCCCTCCCAGTGCCCCCAAACCCCTCCCAGTGCCCCCCAAACCCCTCCCAGTGCCCCCCAGTGCCCCCCAGTGCCCACCAGGATGGTGGTGATGATGAGGGTCTTGTTGGCCAGGCTGTCCGAGGCGTTGAGCGCCAACGTCGCCGCGTCCATCGCCAGCGTCCGGTTGGAGAACCACACCCCCACCTGCCAGAGGGGGGCGGGGCCGGGGTGTGGCCTCAGAAAGGGGAGGGCGTGGCCACGGGGCTGGGGGGGCGGGGGCTTGGAGGGTGGGGCGTGGTCACGGGGGCGGGGGGCTCTGGGTCACTCTGAGGGTCACTCTGGGGGTCCCGAGGGTCCCCGGGGTCACTCTGGGGGTTCTGGTGGTCCCAAGGGTCCCAGGGGTCACTCTGGGGCTCCCTGGGGTCATGGGGGTCACTCTGGGGGTCCCATGGTGGGCTCTGGGTCACTCTGGGGGTCCTGAGGGTCCCAGGGCTCACTGTGGGGGTCCTGGTGGTCCTGAGGGTCCCGTGAGTCACTCATGGGGTCCCATGGGTTGCTCTGGGGGTCCTGGGGGTCCCAGGGGTCACTCTGGGGGTCCCGTGGGTCACTCTGGGGTCCCAGGGGTCACTCTGGGGGTCCCCAGGGTCCTGGGGATCCCATGGGTCACTCTGGGGGTCCCGGGGGTCACTCTGGGGGTCTGTGGAGTTCCGGGGATCACTCTGGTGGCCCTGGGGGTCCCGGGGGTCACTCTGGGGGTCCTGGTGGTCCCAAGGGTCCTGTGGGTCACTCTGGGGGTCCCGTGGGTCACTCTGGGGGTCCCGGGGGTCACTCTGGGGGCCCTGGTGGTCCCAAGGGTCTCAGGGGTCACTCTGGGGGTCCCAGGGGTCACTCTGGGGGTCCTGGTGGTCCCAAGGGTCTCAGGGGTCACTCTGGGGTCCTGAGGGTCACTCTGGGGTCCCAGGGGT